ACCACTTTGATACGATATTTGTGTGGAACACGCGCCCCTTCCACATGATTTTTTTCCAAGAGACTTTTGCAGGACATTCTTTTAGGGCACTCTTATTGGAGGACATGTTTTTGAAAGGACACTTTTGTGGATGAACTTTCAGAAGCTACTCCTTGGACTAGCTTTATATTACAAAATGGCCACCGACCTCCCCCAAAAAGGGGGCCTTTCGGACGAAGCTTCCTTTCGTGACTTGAGCGCACAAGTCACGCTTTCTCTCTCCAAGACCTCCAAGATAGCCTGACAAAGACCACCAATCTCCGCCTCACAAAAACGCACAAAGCGCCATGGCCACGAAAAGTGACTGTGCCGTGCTGTCGGGTCTGGAAGATTGCACCATCTCACACGTTTGCAATGACTTGGACACTTTGCTGCTCTACTCAGGTCATTCAACATCGCAATTTTAGCTCAGACACAAACTCAAAGCACTCCCTCCGAAAGAAATCACACTCTGACAGTGGCCTTCAGAGATGCAACTCTTCCAACCTACTATTCCGTTTGATAAAAAACAAGAACACTTTTTGTGATTTAGGTGATCCTTTGCGTTTGGTTTTGGACACCAGGTTTGGGTTTTGGGTTTTTGTCGCCCTGATGGGTACGTCAGGATGCCAAAGCAAGTGACCCCAACGCAGAAGACCGAGGACATTTGGCACACCAGCGGGCGATCTTGGAGGATGCTGAGGTGGTTTGCAGTACTTGTGCTGGTGCGGATCATCCTGTCCTGCATGGTAAAGACTTTGGATGCATTTTGATCGACGAGGCTGGGCAGACGACTGAATTAGCCGTGCTGGCGCCTTGGACAATTTTGCCACATCTTCTTTTCCAGTTCCAGTGCATCGCTACTAGTAACAAGTGCCTTACTAGTAGTAACAAGTGCCTTACTAGTAGTAACAAGAAGCTACTAGGAACAAGTGCATCGCTACTAGTAACAAGTGCCTTACTACATATCCTATCGCGCATGCTTCTACATCCATTGTAAGGTGCCTCTCATGAAGATGAGAAAAGATGGAGTGGTCACCCTGGTTGGTGATCATCGTCAGTTGCCGCCAACCATTAGCAATGTGGAAGTTGACGTGGAAGGTTTGGGCACTTCCCTTTTTGAACGCTTGTCTTCCCATGGCGTGGAACCCTTTATGCTGGACATCCAGTACCGCATGCATCCGGCCATTGCGTCGTATCCCTCGGTGGCTTCGTACGCTGGAAAGCTCCGATCGGGCGTGAGTGGCCAACAACGAAAGGCGCCTCAAGGCATTGCATGGCCCATCCCCGAGGCGCCGGGGGGTAGGAGTGACGCTACTAGGGGCTCCTGGCATCGCTACGAACGGAGCAAGGGCCTTACTACTAGGAACAATGTTTGCTAGTAGTAACTTAGAATTAAGTTTAATTAGGTGACCGAGGTTTGGTGCCTATTGCAATTAAACAATATATAAATTAGAATTTAAATAGAATCAAATTAAAATTAGTAAAGAAGGCTACTAGGACGCATGGCCCATCCCCGAGGCGCCGGTGACCTTCTTGCCCGTGGAAGGCCTGCTTTCCTCTCGCTTTTCGTTGCTTTTCTTTACACGTAATTTTTTTACTCTCTACGTGCAATTCAATACGATTCAG